TTCCTGGGAGCCCTGTGTATAAAAGGAACTCAAAGTATGAAACTTTGAATCAAAGTGCTGGAGTAATCCAGGAAAACAACAAAGACCTTGCAGCAGGTCCGAAGACTAGACTGCAAAACAATTGAGGGAAAAAATAACTCAAAATTGAAAAAAACAACAACCTCAAGCTGTTAAAATCTTGAGACAATTTTGACTTACAGATGGCAAAAAAAGGTTTTTGTTGTTCAGAAACATAAAAGAGAGCCAAACTGATATTCTGCCACACAAGAACATGAAAACTTTTGTCTAAATGTTTTGTTAGAAGATGAAGTCATATCAGAGTGAGTTTCAGCTGCTCGCATGCCAAAACAAAAAGTGTTTTCTAAAAGTTCCACTTCACAGAGTCCTTCATAGGGTTTTTTTGTTTTGTTTTGTTTTATAACATGACGTGAGTAAATTGACACGATGTATTCGAAAAGACTGTAATCGCTGATGAGAGCCAGATGATACCTTTTGCCTTTAATGTATAGCCTAATAAGAAACCAAATGAAATATAATTATGGAATCACAACTTTGTCATCCAGTAGAGGTTTGTAAAAACACTGGAAAGAGAATGTTTATTTCTTAACAAAACACAGGATTACAATAGACTAACTTCATATAAATGCACAGTTCTCTATTTCTATGATAGAGTTCTTGACCTCTTTGTTATAAGAAGTTTTCCAAACAGCAGAAACAAGCAAAGTCAAGGATGTTGAGCACGACTGGAATGCATCTCTCGTCAATCAGATTACTCAGCATACCAGTTGTTTATCATTTGATGAGAAAGTAGTGTATGTGGTCGCTTTGGCAGAGACAGATGGTGATTTGGTATTGAACGGTATGTTATTGTTTTGGAGTGAAACCGGTGATGGACAGAATGCATGAAAAATAGCATAGCTGTAATGAATGCCTGTAATACAATTATGCACCGCTCAGTGTCCAAATCTGCCCATATGCTTCTAAAGGACATGTGTCCTAAGAAAGCTGAAAACCCCTGGGGTTTAGGACAGGGTTTAAATGATTTTCCATTACTTATAATTGACCCTTGCAAACTATATAATTTGCAAGTAAAAGCTTTATATTGTAAACTTTGTAAAACACATTCTTTCCTTTTCAGGATTAAAAAAAATGCTGAAAAAGAAAGTGCAAAGGTGCCCGTGTTGCTGTAAATTTTGTTCATGCTGCACTAAAATGTGTGGATTGGTGTGTAGCTCAGAATATGGATATTTTTCGTATAGGCACGCTAAACCACAAGACACAAGCTCATTTGAAAGCAGACCTTTATACATATTTACAAAAAGAAAAACAAAGTCTCTGCACATGAGAGGAGATCATGTGATGACAGTTTCATTTTGTCTGCAGAGAAGTCGTTCTGGAAAATCACAAGAGACGAATGTTGGCACTCAGATGTAAATACAGCATAACAGAGTGAAGCCATTGTAATGAACGAGGAGCAGCTCTGCACCTCGTCTTACAGGAAAAGCATTAAATGTTTAAGATCTCCATAAAAATGTCTCGTTGGAGTTCTGCAGAGAACTTTCAGCAGAGATGGGATCCGACATGAAATATACACGTTACACATTCATATATATATATATATACACACAATATCCACAAGGCAGGGTCATTACAAGCATAGTTAGGTTTATCTTTTTAATGTTTCTGGATCTCTTGAATAGTAATTCAAATAACCAGTCAAAAATTAGCAAGAAAAATAGAGTTGACAGCTTTGCTTTGTTAGACTGAGGGTGTGTTTTCTTATTGAGTAGAATTCGAGCCTATATTTACGATCTGCATGGGTCTCCGGGGTAAAATGTCCATATAACACACTGCAATTTGAGAGGTTAGCTGCACTGCCACTATTTTTTTAACCTTTATGCTAAGCTAAACTAGCTAGCTAGTGACACTTGCTTCAGTTGACCTGATTATGGTTCGATTGCTCAGCTCTATTAAATGCTGTTATGTATTGTGATTTGTGATTCTATCGTAGTTTCTTTTGCAGTAATGGATAGCCATTTGGGCAGAAATCCTGCATGTTTTCTTAACAACGGGCGTGCACAACAATGGCTAATTAGATCCGAATACATAAGTGATTGTGGTGTTAGCATTCAGCAGCTTCAGTGGCAGTATGATAACTGATAAATGATACAATATTATGTGATGAGAAAGCTACAATCTCTGGCCCTCTTCTACAGCATGACTTTTATGCTGTCTTCCTTCCCTCACTCCCCCAACTGGTCGCCGCTGCCTGAGCCTGGTTCTGCCAGAGGTTTCTTCCTATTAAAAGAGTTTTTCCTTCCCACTGTCACCAGGTGCTTGATCACAGAGGGTTGTCCCACTGTCGAGATTTTCTCTCTATTATTATTGAGTTGTTACATTAGAATATAGAGTGCCTTGAGGCGATTGTTATGCTGATTTGGCACTTTAGCTAAAACTAAATTGAAATTGAATTAATCAAAGCTTTAGTCCTGTTATGTTATGATGATTATTTGCTTGCTCTGGACATATTTCAGGGAAATATTTCCAATTTTCACGAGCACAGAAAATCTGCTGGAAAACCAGCTGTGTGACCAATCAAAATACTTTAGCAGTAAGCTATTCGACTCTAAACGACTCTAAACAGCAGCTTAACAACAGGCCAAATCCTGATTTCATTTTAGATTACAGCTGCAGCGTTACACTCTCATACACACTTTTTTTTTTTTGAGTTTTGTGTGTGTGACTTTTGGAGCTGTTCTGTGTGTCACGTTTTCTTTTATACTCTACACTGAGTTTTTTTTGTGTTGTGTGTTTTTTTTTGTGTGGCGCGCGCCGAGGCGCAGAGCGCCGAGACCCCGAGGCGCCACCTCTATTTTTTTTCTGTGTGTTCTCTGTGTTTTTTGTTTTTGTTCTATTTTTTTTTTATCGTCTCAAAATATCTCTTGTATATTTTGGATTTTCCGTTTTTGGGATTTTTTTTGACAGCGCCTGTGCTTTTTGTGTGCTCTTCTCTATCTGTTCTCCTTTTTGTGTCACACACACAAAGAGACACAGATCCTTAACCACATAGAGAGACGAAGCATACAGCAAAGAGACTGGGATCCAGCAGGACCCATCATGGTATATATTACCGTCAGTAATGTGTGCTCAGTATCACCACTGCTGGATGATATTAAATAAGGGAAAACTTTGAGGCTGTTATTATTGGGCTTAACCATGCATGTAAATGCTCGTTCTTCCAGTATAGCATATAAAATTCGATTAAGTTTTAATTTAGTAAGTTTTCCCTCTGTCCTTTAGCTACACCTTTCTCTCTCTATGATTTAACTAGAACTCATGCCATGTGAGCCACACACAACAGCAGTACTGTTGAGCTCAGGCTTGATGTTGGAACTTTTAGTCTGCATCCAGTGTTCTGGGAAACGTCAACAACGAGAAGACAAGCAGAAAAAATATCATATTTTAAATGCACATTTAGTTCCCGCTGCCTCAGACTGAAGCAGCACTTCCTTTCGACGCCAATAGGAAAGACAAGATTTAAAAAACGAAAATAAAAACACTTCCACTGGTGAATGTGGGAAGGTATATCGACTGGTAACAATTGGACGTCAGACATACGTACAAAGACAGAACAACAAAGACACTCATGTCAAAAAAGTATCACAACTCCTCAAAGAAGTAGTCTCACACCAGATTAAAATAATAAATAGCACAAAGAAGGAAGTTAAATAGAGATGGAAGTAGCTGTGTTCGTTTAACATTTTAAGAACAAATCACAATTTACTGCCTCACAAAGTCGCTCAAATCCCACTGGCCAGAGTCCATTTGACGCCAGTCCTGTTTAGCACTTTCTCCAGTTCCAGCTTGGTATAATAAAGGCTTCTTTATGATCCGCTGGGCCTGCTTCATAATTTACAGTCAGATGTCATTACCAGCTGGGGCTGCAGAACCTGCAATAATGTGCTCCACTCTTCTGTGTTAGTCTAATCCACTGAAATTCACCAACAGGTTGGGAAACATGCATTTCTGTACAGAGTTTTCTTCTAGTTTGGTTTACAGTTTGATCCTCTTGTTCATGTTGTAATGAAAATCTTTTAAAATT